ATGAAAATTTAACTGAGAGAAAATTTTTGTATTAATAAAAATTATAATAAATTTCAATTTGGCTAAATGGAAATTCAGCTAAATGAAAAATTGAATAAATAAAAATTTCTGCTAAATGGAAATTTCGTTAAATGGCAATTTTTTTAAAATAAAAATTCAGTTAATTAAACATTTATCTCAATGGAAATTCTACTTAATAATAATTTGGCTAAATAAAAATTCGATTTTAACAAGATATGATTAGATGAAAATTCTGTTAAATGCATTCTGCATTTAAAATTCTGTTAATTAAAAATTATGCTAAATAAAAATCCATTTAACATAAAATTTATTATAAAAATTCATCTCAAAGGAAATTCAGATAAATAGAAATTCATTCAATTGAATGAAAATTCGAATAAAAAAAAGTTCTGCTAAATATAAATTTATTTATATTTATTTATTTAATTTATTTTTTTTATTTATTTTATTTTATTTATTTTTAATTTATTTATATATTTTATTCTCACGAAAAATAATCAAAAAAAAAGAATATCGAAGAGTAAAATTAAAATTATCCTGTCGAAAAAAATAATAAAATATATAAGTTCTTACAAAGAAATTGTGAAATGGTTCCTTGATTTTTTCTTTTTTCTTGTGAAAAAAAAAAAAAATTCTTTGAAAACATTTCATCACCTCGTTATTCTGATTCTCGATTCACTGTTTTCGTTACGTTTTCACGAGAAGCGCGAGAGGTGAGAGGGAAAAGCAACGATCGAACGATAAACTTGTCCTGAGTGGCTTCATTGTAATAATAAAAGCTCAAGAAAAGTTCAGATCGTTTGTCAGATAGAAAAAATAAAAAAAAATAAAAAATAAAAAAATTGCAGCAAATCTCATGGAAAAATCGAACAAGTTTTTTTTTTTTTTTTTTATGGCCTTTGAAATAAAATAATATATTTTCCTTATTTTTTTTTTTTTTTTTTACTCGACCTAGATTAAAGAAACAGGGAAATCTCAATTAAAATAATCAGTCAATTATATTATAAATAAAGTGGAAAAAAAAATTTAGGGGGAAAAAAAATAATGAGGAGTAATAAAAAATTTTTTGAAATTAATAAATATAGAAATAAAATAAATTTTTAAAAAATGAATAAATAAAAATTGAAGAAAAATGTAAAACATAAAATAGAAAGAAAAAATTTCAAAAATAAATAAATAAAAAAAATACTAATTTGTAAAAATTGATGAAAAATAATAATGAAATAAATACAAAAAAAAAAAAAAAAACAGTAAAGTAAATAATGGCAAATAAAACAAGTTGTAAATTCAGATGTTCATTACATGAACATTTTGCTTTCTCTTTACGATTAGCAAAAAAATTTGCTTCCTCGTAGAGAAAGCATTAACATTGAAATAAACAAACAAAAATAATATAATAATAATATAAACATTTGAGTACCTATACATTTGAGTTAAATTTAAAGAATTAATGGAAGTTAAAAAATCAAAAATTCATATTTTAACCGAAATTTCAAAATATTAATGAAAAATAATATATAATTTATAATTATTTACAATTATATCGATTCGTTTTAATGCAAGGAACACAATTATTTTATATTTCAACTTGAATTTAAATAAATAAACAATTTTTCAGCTAAAATGTGCTATTTAGATTTAATTGGTAGGGGTTTTTTTTGAGGTAATATGTTTTGTTTGAAGGTAAAAAAAATAATAGAAACATGATGTTTAATTTTATTTGACTATGTAAGGGATTTTTTCGTTTTCCAGGAAAACATTATGTCCACAGTACAAGTAGTAGTACAAGTAAAGATGTAGTTGGACGGGTTTGCAATTTTGTTAGTAATACAAGTAAATATTTAGTCAGACATTCTTGATTTGACCTTCAAACGACCTTGAATGACCTTGACTTGACCTTCAAATGACCTTGAATGACCTTGACTTGACCTTGACTTTGTGTCATGCTTTTAAATCATTTCTAAATTTTTTCAGTGGTTTTAATAAATATTTAGCCAGACATTCTAAAAGTTTGAAATTTTCTCAGTAGTATCACTCAGTAGTATTACTCAGCAGTAGTACATTTTTCTCAGTAATATTTCTCAGTAGTATTTCTCAGCAGTAGTACAATTTTTTCAGTAGTATTACTCAGCAGTAGAACAATTTTCTTAGTAGTATTACTCAACAGTAGTACAATATTCTCAGTAGTATTACTCAACAGTAGTACAATATTCTCAGTAGTATTACTCAGCAGTAGTACAAGTAAAAATGTAGTTGGACGGGTTTGCAATTTTGTTAGTAATACAAGTATATATTTAGTCAGACATTCTTGATTTGACCTTCAAACGACCTTGAATGACCCTGAATGACCTTGACTTGACCTTCAAATGACCTTGAACGACCTTGACTTGACCTTCAAATGACCTTGAATGACCTTGACTTGACCTTGACCTTGTGTCAAACTTTTAAAACACTTCTAAATTTATTCAGTGGTTCAAATAAATATTTAGTCAGACATTCTGAAGGTTTGAAATTTTCTCAGTAGTATCACTCAGCAGTAGTACAAGTAGTAGTACAATATTGTCAGTAGTACATGTAAATATTAAGTTGGACGAGTTTGAAATTTTGTTAGTAATACAAGTAAATTGCATTGTTTGAAGATAAAAAAATAATAGAGACATGCTGTTTAGTTTGTATTTGCTAAAGTTATCTTCTAAACAAAAAAGGGATCCACACACACGCATACATACATCTGGACAATTGATCAGGATTTCATATAACATGTTTCTATATAGAGAAAAATTTGTTTCCGACACTTTGAAATTTTTTATAAACGAAAGGACTACAAAGCTTCCTTTACAAAGAAGCAAAATTTTTAAAATAAAAGTAAATTTCTCTGATAATAATAGAAAAAATATAACGAAAAATGGAAAAAGAATTATGTGTATTAGCTAAAAAGTAGAACAAACGTAAAAATGTGGGTCATATTTATTTATTAAATAAAAATTGATTTCTTTTTCCTTTTTTTTTTTTTTTTGCTTTCAATTTGACACAATTTTTAAAGAAAAATAAAATACGAATTTTTTTTTTTTAATTCTCTTTGAAATTTTTTCTCTCTCACCACAAAATTGTTTTCTGATTTTTTTTCTCTCATCAATTTTTGAAATAATATCAAGGTAATGTAGGAATTATATTATTAAAAAAATAAAAAAATAAAAATAACAAGGCCTCTTGTCAAAGAGAATGTTAAAACTTTTTTTTCCCCTCTATTGAAGTTAATAAATTCTCTATATACTTATGAAAATACATCAAAGATAAAAAGAGAGAGAGATTAAAATATAATGTTACAAAATTTACAATAAATTTTGATAAATCACTCTTTTTTTCTTTTGAGTTCATATTGTTAAAATTTATATTCTGTAAATTATACGGAATTATTAATAATTATAAGAATAATAATAATAATAATAATAATGGTAATCATCGTTATTTAATTTAATGTAAAAACTCGAAATAAATTTGTAAAAGAGAAAAATATTATTATATGTCTCTCTTTATTATAAAAAGATTTCGCCGCTGAATTGACGTGGAACGACCTATATATTTATCTATATTAGTGTTAAAACGAACATAACCTCAAAATTCAAGGTCCTAGGTCTCCTGGATTCAAGGTCAGAGATCAAACATAGTCTCAAAATTCAAGGACGTAGGTTATGGAACGGTTGGGTTTGAGGTTATGTACGACAAAAATAACTTCTAATTCCTTTAATTAAGAAACGAACATAACCTCAAAATTTAGATAAAATTTTAATAACTTTAATACTTGCAAGACTTTCAAAAATTAATTATTAAAATGGAATTTTTATTTATACAAATTTTTAATTGATAGAATTTTTAAGACGCCGAATTTTCATTTGTCCGAAATTACAAAAAGCGGAACGAACAATAGACATAAAAATTTCGGCTCAATTCATTAATTTTGATAATTATTCGTAAAAACTTTTGCGAAATTATTATTGTTGATTTAGGAGAAAGAGAATTTTTTTTTTTTGGGGGGGGGGAATTAAAACAAATTTGTAATGAATTAGTAATGAAATTATATATATATATATATATATATATATATATATATATATATATATATTATAGAGGTGAATTATTGGCCCTGGCATCTAATAAAGCAAAATGCTTCGATAGATTCCGATCATTTGAAATTTGAAGGGAAACCTGGCTTAATAGAGTCTATGAGATTAATCGTAATAGAGCATTCTCGTATTAATTATTCCATTCAATTATTCCTGAGCAGTATATATGTATAAATATATGCGTACACATTCAGAGATTGAAACATTTCGCACAAATTACCTGATATTCAGTTCTAATTTCCGAAATTAGAAATGTTTATTGCTTCTATAACATGCATGAATGAGTCTCGCGTAATTAATCAAATTCCCTCTTTTTCATATACGTATTTTGTAAATCAGATTAAAATTTTTTTTATTATTATTATTATTATTATTTAATTTAAATTAACATTGGAATTGTCATTCAACAACAAAAAATTGTTCATTAAGTATTTTGTATTTTTTTTACGTTATAAAAAAATAAAATGCAAAAAGTTGTGGGTAGAATTTTTCCTCACCAAAATAGGTAAAGTTTCAGGAAACAGCGCGATTTCAAGATAATCGACATTAAACGAGAAAACGAAGCATTTCAAACTTAAGAAGCGAATATCGTATTACCACTTGGGAAAGAAAACAAAGGAAATTTTTAGGCTTCCTCTTGTTTTCTTTCCTATATATATAAAGGGGGAAAAAAAATTGCTTTTATCGGGAAAAAAAATTTTTTCCTTTTTTTGTGTGAAAAATATCCGAATTTTTTTTGTGACATTCGTTAAAATTTAAATATCGAGAATTTTTCTCCTCCTGTTTTTTTTTTTTTTTATAAAAATGCAAAATTGTGATAGGAAGAAAAATATTTAGTTTTTTTTTGTGTCATACCTTTTCAGTTTTATCGATGCGTATTTGGGCTTTTGCATTTCCATCGGCGAGATAGATTTGCAATCGATCGGAACTATTTTCCAAACTTGTTGCCAATAATAGTCCCCTTGGCCTAATTGTTTTGAAACGCAAAACAATTTCCTCAGCTTGTGTTTTTGAATCCTCAGGCATCAACGCCGTGAGATGTTGCGAGCCATTCAAATGAAGTGTCGATGCATCTGTAAAAGAAAAAAGAAATTCCAGTATTAAAAAGAAAATATTATTTCTTTTTATTTTCCATTACTTTGAATTTTTCCAATTTTTTTCTATTTTCTTATCGAAAATTACTTATCACATACAATATTCTTTGTGTCCCAAGAAAAAGAATTAATAATATTATAAAAAAATGATATTAAAAAAGAAATAATTTATTTTAAAAAGAACAAATTTTATTAATACAAAATCTTATGAATAAAAATTTTATAAATACAGACTGATAGTGAAACTGTTCTACCATCAGTCGGAAATATAGATTACTATGTCGGTAATTTTTAGGTTTTCGTGGCACAGGGCCGAAAGCCTTATAGTTTCGCTTTAGCGTCCGTCGTACACTCGTATGGATGCCATGGCAAGTGTTACCATGAATACTGTTTCTTCGGCAACCGTTTCCATGACAACCATTACAATAACAACCGTTTCCATAGCAACCATAGCAAATCACAAATAATGCAATTATAAATTATTTATTATATACAAATAACATTTCAGCTAAATTTAAAAAGCCAAGAAACATTAGATGTAGACACTATGCGCCTGCTTCTTTTCCCTATTCTTTTCTACACTTTCCAGTGTATATTGTGCAAGAATACGCAATAAAATCGTCTGCCTAAGAAAAATTGAATTTTTTTGGAAATTTTTTTTTGCACCTGGATGAATTGTTAAAGGTAATAGAGGTCTTCCTCTACTCGGATTTGGCTGTCGATTTTTTTCTACACTTTTAGGTGTATTTTGTGCAAGAATATGCAATAAAATCGTCTGCCTAAGAAAAATTGAATTTTTTTGGAAATTTTTTTTTGGACCTGGATGACTTTTTGGTGGTAATAGAGGTCTTCCTCTACTCGGATTCAGCTGTCGATTTTTTTCTACACTTTTAGGTGTATTTTGTGCAAGAATACGCAATAAAATCGTCTGCCTAAGAAAAATTGAATTTTTTTGGAAATTTTTTTTTGGACCTGGATGACTTTTTGGTGGTAATAGAGGTCTTCCTCTACGCGGATTTGGCTGTCGATTTTTTCCTACACTTTTAGGTGTATTTTGTGCAAGAATATGCAATAAAATCGTCTGCCTAAGAAAAATTGAATTTTTTTAGAAATTTTTTTTTGGACCTGGATGACTTTTTGGTGGTAATAGAGGTCTTCCTCTACTCGGATTCAGCTGTCGATTTTTTTCTACACTTTTAGGTGTATTTTGTGCAAGAATACGCAATAAAATCGTCTGCCTAAGAAAAATTGAATTTTTTTGGAAATTTTTTTTTGGACCTGGATGACTTTTTGGTGGTAATAGAGGTCTTCCTCTACTCGGATTTGGCTGTCGACTTTTTCTACACTTTTAGGTGTATTTTGTGCAAGAATACGCAATAAAATCGTCTGCCTAAGAAAAATTGAATTTTTTTGGAAATTTTTTTTTGGACCTGGATGACTTTTTGGTGGTAATAGAGGTCTTCCTCTACTCGGATTTGGCTGTCGACTTTTTCTACACTTTTAGGTGTATTTTGTGCAAGAATATGCAATAAAATCGTCTGCCTAAGAAAAATTGAATTTTTTTGGAAATGTTTTTTTTGACCTGGATGACTTTTTGGTGGTAATACAGGTCTTCCTCTACTCGGATTCAGCTGTCGATTTTTTCTACACTTTTAGGTGTATTTTGTGCAAGAATACGCAATAAAATCGTCTGCCTAAGAAAAATTGAATTTTTTTGGAAATTTTTTTTTGGACCTGGATGAATTTTTGGTGGTAATACAGGTCTTCCTCTACTCGGATTCAGCTGTCGTTTTTTTCTACACTTTTAGGTGTATTTTGTGCAAGAATACGCAATAAAATCGTCTGCCTAAGAAAAATTGAATTTTTTTGGAAATTTTTTTTTGGACCTGGATGACTTTTTGGTGCTAATAGAGGTCTTCCTCTACTCGGATTCAGCTGTCGATTTTTTTCTACACTTTTAGGTGTATTTTGTGCAAGAATATGCAATAAAATTGTCTGCCTAAGAAAAATTGATATTTTTCGGAAATTTTTTTTTGGACCTGGATGACTTTTTGTTGGTAATTGGGGTCTTCCTCTACTCGAATATGGCTGTCGATTTTTTTCTACACTTTTAGGTGTATTTTGTGCAAGAATATGCAATAAAATCGTCTGCCTAAGAAAAATTGAATTTTTTTGGAAATTTTTTTTTGGAGCTGGATGACTTTTTGGTGGTAATTGGGGTCTTCCTCTACTCGGATTTGGCTGTTGATTTTTTTCTACACTTTTAGGTGTATTTCGTGAAAGAATATGCAATAAAATCGTCTGCCTAAGATAAATTGAATTTTTTTGGAAATTTTTTTTTTGTCCTGGATGCCTTTTTGGTGGTAATAGAGGTCTTCCTCTACTCGGATTTGGCTTTCGTTTTTTTTCTACACTTTTGGGTGTATTTTGTGCAAGAATATGCAATAAAATCGTCTGCCTAAGAAAAATTGAATTTTTTTGGAAATTTTTTTTTGGACCTGGATGACTTTTTGGTGCTAATAGAGGTCTTCCTCTACTCGGATTCAGCTGTCGATTTTTTTCTACACTTTTAGGTGTATTTTGTGCAAGAATATGCAATAAAATTGTCTGCCTAAGAAAAATTGATATTTTTCGGAAATTTTTTTTTGGACCTGGATGACTTTTTGTTGGTAATTGGGGTCTTCCTCTACTCGAATATGGCTGTCGATTTTTTTCTACACTTTTAGGTGTATTTTGTGCAAGAATATGCAATAAAATCCTCTGCCTAAGAAAAATTGAATTTTTTTGGAAATGTTTTTTTGGACCTGGATGACTTTTTGGTGGTAATAGAGGTCTTCCTCTACTCGGATTTGGCTGTTGATTTTTTTCTACACTTTTAGGTGTATTTCGTGAAAGAATATGCAATAAAATCGTCTGCCTAAGATAAATTGAATTTTTTTGGAAATTTTTTTTTTGTCCTGGATGCCTTTTTGGTGGTAATAGAGGTCTTCCTCTACTCGGATTTGGCTTTCGTTTTTTTTCTACACTTTTGGGTGTATTTTGTGCAAGAATATGCAATAAAATCGTCTGCCTAAGAAAAATTGAATTTTTTTGGAAATGTTTTTTTGGACCTGGATGACTTTTTGGTAATAATAGAGGTCTTCCTCTACTCGGATTTGGCTGTTGATTTTTTTCTACACTTTTAGGTGTATTTCGTGCAAGAATATGCAATAAAATCGTCTGCCTAAGAAAAATTGAATTTTTTTAAAAATTTTTTTTTGGAGCTGGATGACTTTTTGGTGGTAATTGGGGTCTTCCTCTACTCGGATTTGGCTGTTGATTTTTTTCTACACTTTTAGGTGTATTTTGTGCAAGAAGATGCAATAAAATCGTCTGCCTAAGAAAAATTGAATTTTTTTGGAAATTTTTTTTTGGACATGGATGACTTTTTGGTGCTAATAGAGGTCTTCCTCTACTCGGATTTGGCTGTCGATTTTTTTCTACACTTTTAGGTGTATTTTGTGCAAAAATATGCAATAAAATCGTCTGCCTAAGAAAAATTGAATTTTTTTGGAAATTTTTTTTTGGAGCTGGATGACTTTTTGGTGGTAATAGAGGTCTTCCTCTACTCGGATTCAGCTGTCGATTTTTTTCTACACTTTTAGGTGTATTTTGTGCAAGAATATGCAATAAAATCGTCTGCCTAAGAAAAATTGAATTTTTTTGGAAATTTTTTTTTGGACCTGGATGACTTTTTGGTGGTAATAGAGGTCTTCCTCTACTCGGATTCAGCTGTCGATTTTTTTCTACACTTTTAGGTGTATTTCGTGCAAGAATATGCAATAAAATCGTCTGCCTAAGATAAATTGAATTTTTTTGGAAATGTTTTTTTTAACCTGGATGACTTTTTGGTGGTAATTGGGGTCTTCCTCTACTCGAATATGGCTGTCGATTTTTTTCTACACTTTTAGGTGTATTTTGTGCAAGAATATGCAATAAAATCGTCTGCCTAAGAAAAATTGAATTTTTTTGGAAATGTTTTTTTGGACCTGGATGACTTTTTAGTGGTAATAGAGGTCTTCCTCTACTCGGATTTGGCTGTTTATTTTTTTCTACACTTTTAGGTGTATTTTGTGCAAGAAGATGCAATAAAATCGTCTGCCTAAGAAAAATTGAATTTTTTTGGAAATTTTTTTTTGGACCTGGATGACTTTTTGGTGGGAATAGATGTCTTCCTCTACTCGGATTTGGCTGTCGATTTTTTTCTACACTTTTAGGTGTATTTTGTGCAAGAATATGCAATAAAATCGTCTGCCTAAGAAAAATTGAATTTTTTTGGAAATGTTTTTTTTGAACCTGGATGACTTTTTGGTGGTAATTGGGGTCTTCCTCTACTCGAATATGGCTGTCGATTTTTTTCTACACTTTTAGGTGTATTTTGTGCAAGAATATGCAATAAAATCGTCTGCCTAAGAAAAATTGAATTTTTTTGGAAATTTTTTTTTGACCTGGATGACTTTTTGGTGGTAATTGGGGTCTTCCTCTACTCGGATTTGGCTGTTTATTTTTTTCTACACTTTTAGGTGTATTTTGTGCAAGAAGATGCAATAAAATCGTCTGCCTAAGAAAAATTGAATTTTTTTGGAAATTTTTTTTTGGACCTGGATGACTTTTTGGTGGGAATAGATGTCTTCCTCTACTCGGATTTGGCTGTCGATTTTTTTCTACACTTTTAGGTGTATTTTGTGCAAGAATATGCAATAAAATCGTCTGCCTAAGAAAAATTGAATTTTTTTGGAAATGTTTTTTTTAACCTGGATGACTTTTTGGTGGTAATTGGGGTCTTCCTCTACTCGAATATGGCTGTCGATTTTTTTCTACACTTTTAGGTGTATTTTGTGCAAGAATATGCAATAAAATCGTCTGCCTAAGAAAAATTGAATTTTTTTGGAAATTTTTTTTTGACCTGGATGACTTTTTGGTGGTAATTGGGGTCTTCCTCTACTCGGATTTGGCTGTTTATTTTTTTCTACACTTTTAGGTGTATTTTGTGCAAGAAGATGCAATAAAATCGTCTGCCTAAGAAAAATTGAATTTTTTTGGAAATTTTTTTTTGGACCTGGATGACTTTTTGGTGGGAATAGATGTCTTCCTCTACTCGGATTTGGCTGTCGATTTTTTTCTACACTTTTAGGTGTATTTTGTGCAAGAATATGCAATAAAATCGTCTGCCTAAGAAAAATTGAATTTTTTTGGAAATTTTTTTTTGGACCTGGATGACTTTTTGGTGGTAATAGAGGTCTTCCTCTACTCGGATTCAGCTGTCGATTTTTTTCTACACTTTTAGGTGTATTTTGTGCAAGAATATGCAATAAAATCGTCTGCCTAAGAAAAATTGAATTTTTTTGGAAATGTTTTTTTTAACCTGGATGACTTTTTGGTGGTAATAGAGGTCTTCCTCTACTCGGATTCAGCTGTCGATTTTTTTCTACACTTTTAGGTGTATTTTGTGCAAGAATATGCAATAAAATCGTCTGCCTAAAAAAAATTGAATTTTTTTGGAAATGTTTTTTTGGACCTGGATGACTTTTTAGTGGTAATAGAGGTCTTCCTCTACTCGGATTTGGCTGTTTATTTTTTTCTACACTTTTAGGTGTATTTTGTGCAAGAAGATGCAATAAAATCGTCTGCCTAAGAAAAATTGAATTTTTTTTGAAATTTTTTTTTGGACCTGGATGACTTTTTGGTGGGAATAGAGGTCTTCCTCTACTCGGATTTGGCTGTCGATTTTTTTCTACACTTTTAGGTGTATTTTGTGCAAGAATATGCAATAAAATCGTCTGCCTAAGAAAAATTGAATTTTTTTGGAAATTTTTTTTTGGACCTGGATGACTTTTTGGTGGTAATAGAGGTCTTCCTCTACTCGGATTTGGCTGTTTATTTTTTTCTACACTTTTAGGTGTATTTTGTGCAAGAAGATGCAATAAAATCGTCTGCCTAAGAAAAATTGAATTTTTTTGGAAATTGTTTTTTGGACCTGGATGACTTTTTGGTGGTAATTGGGGTCTTCCTCTACTCGAATATGGCTGTCGATTTTTTTCTACACTTTTAGGTGTATTTTGTGCAAGAATATGCAATAAAATCGTCTGCCTAAGAAAAATTGAATTTTTTTGGAAATTTTTTTTTGGACCTGGATGACTTTTTGGTGGTAATAGAGGTCTTCCTCTACTCGGATTTGGCTGTCGATTTTTTTCTACACTTTTAGGTGTATTTTGTGCAAGAAGATGCAATAAAATCGTCTGCCTAAGAAAAATTGAATTTTTTTGGAAATTTTTTTTTGGACCTGGATGACTTTTTGGTGGTAATAGAGGTCTTCCTCTACTCGGATTTGGCTGTCGATTTTTTTCTACACTTTTAGGTGTATTTTGTGCAAGAATATGCAATAAAATCGTCTGCCTAAGAAAAATTGAATTTTTTTGGAAATTTTTTTTTGGACCTGGATGACTTTTTGGTGGTAATAGAGGTCTTCCTCTACTCGGATTTGGCTGTCGATTTTTTTCTACACTTTTAGGTGTATTTTGTGCAAGAATATGCAATAAAATCGTCTGCCTAAGAAAAATTGAATTTTTTTGGAAATTTTTTTTTGGACCTGGATGACTTTTTGGTGGTAATAGAGGTCTTCCTCTACTCGGATTTGGCTGTCGATTTTTTCTACACTTTTAGGTGTATTTTGTGCAAGAATATGCAATAAAATCGTCTGCCTAAGAAAAATTGAATTTTTTTGGAAATTTTTTTTTGGACCTGGATGACTTTTTGGTGGTAATAGAGGTCTTCCTCTACTCGGATTTGGCTGTCGATTTTTTTCTACACTTTTAGGTGTATTTTGTGCAAGAATATGCAATAAAATCGTCTGCCTAAGAAAAATTGAATTTTTTTGGAAATTTTTTTTTGGACCTGGATGACTTTTTGGTGGTAATAGAGGTCTTCCTCTACTCGGATTTGGCTGTCGATTTTTTTCTACACTTTTAGGTGTATTTTGTGCAAGAATATGCAATAAAATCGTCTGCCTAAGAAAAATTGAATTTTTTTGGAAATTTTTTTTTGGACCTGGATGACTTTTTGGTGGTAATAGAGGTCTTCCTCTACTCGGATTTGGCTGTCGATTTTTTTCTACACTTTTAGGTGTATTTTGTGCAAGAATATGCAATAAAATCGTCTGCCTAAGAAAAATTGAATTTTTTTGGAAATTTTTTTTTGGACCTGGATGACTTTTTGGTGGTAATAGAGGTCTTCCTCTACTCGGATTTGGCTGTCGATTTTTTTCTACACTTTTAGGTGTATTTTGTGCAAGAATATGCAATAAAATCGTCTGCCTAAGAAAAATTGAATTTTTTTGGAAATTTTTTTTTGGACCTGGATGACTTTTTGGTGGTAATAGAGGTCTTCCTCTACTCGGATTTGGCTGTCGATTTTTTTCTACACTTTTAGGTGTATTTTGTGCAAGAATATGCAATAAAATCGTCTGCCTAAGAAAAATTGAATTTTTTTGGAAATTTTTTTTTGGACCTGGATGACTTTTTGGTGGTAATAGAGGTCTTCCTCTACTCGGATTTGGCTGTCGATTTTTTTCTACACTTTTAGGTGTATTTTGTGCAAGAATATGCAATAAAATCGTCTGCCTAAGAAAAATTGAATTTTTTTGGAAATGTTTTTTTGGACCTGGATGACTTTTTGGTAATAATAGAGGTCTTCCTCTACTCGGATTTGGCTGTTGATTTTTTTCTACACTTTTAGGTGTATTTCGTGCAAGAATATGCAATAAAATCGTCTGCCTAAGAAAAATTGAATTTTTTTAAAAATTTTTTTTTGGAGCTGGATGACTTTTTGGTGGTAATTGGGGTCTTCCTCTACTCGGATTTGGCTGTTGATTTTTTTCTACACTTTTAGGTGTATTTTGTGCAAGAAGATGCAATAAAATCGTCTGCCAAAGAAAAATTGAATTTTTTTGGAAATTTTTTTTTGGACATGGATGACTTTTTGGTGCTAATAGAGGTCTTCCTCTACTCGGATTTGGCTGTCGATTTTTTTCTACACTTTTAGGTGTATTTTGTGCAAAAATATGCAATAAAATCGTCTGCCTAAGAAAAATTGAATTTTTTTGGAAATTTTTTTTTGGAGCTGGATGACTTTTTGGTGGTAATAGAGGTCTTCCTCTACTCGGATTCAGCTGTCGATTTTTTTCTACACTTTTAGGTGTATTTTGTGCAAGAATATGCAATAAAATCGTCTGCCTAAGAAAAATTGAATTTTTTTGGAAATTTTTTTTTGGACCTGGATGACTTTTTGGTGGTAATAGAGGTCTTCCTCTACTCGGATTCAGCTGTCGATTTTTTTCTACACTTTTAGGTGTATTTCGTGCAAGAATATGCAATAAAATCGTCTGCCTAAGATAAATTGAATTTTTTTGGAAATGTTTTTTTTAACCTGGATGACTTTTTGGTGGTAATTGGGGTCTTCCTCTACTCGAATATGGCTGTCGATTTTTTTCTACACTTTTAGGTGTATTTTGTGCAAGAATATGCAATAAAATCGTCTGCCTAAGAAAAATTGAATTTTTTTGGAAATGTTTTTTTGGACCTGGATGACTTTTTAGTGGTAATAGAGGTCTTCCTCTACTCGGATTTGGCTGTTTATTTTTTTCTACACTTTTAGGTGTATTTTGTGCAAGAAGATGCAATAAAATCGTCTGCCTAAGAAAAATTGAATTTTTTTGGAAATTTTTTTTTGGACCTGGATGACTTTTTGGTGGGAATAGATGTCTTCCTCTACTCGGATTTGGCTGTCGATTTTTTTCTACACTTTTAGGTGTATTTTGTGCAAGAATATGCAATAAAATCGTCTGCCTAAGAAAAATTGAATTTTTTTGGAAATTTTTTTTTGACCTGGATGACTTTTTGGTGGTAATTGGGGTCTTCCTCTACTCGGATTTGGCTGTTTATTTTTTTCTACACTTTTAGGTGTATTTTGTGCAAGAAGATGCAATAAAATCGTCTGCCTAAGAAAAATTGAATTTTTTTGGAAATTTTTTTTTGGACCTGGATGACTTTTTGGTGGGAATAGATGTCTTCCTCTACTCGGATTTGGCTGTCGATTTTTTTCTACACTTTTAGGTGTATTTTGTGCAAGAATATGCAATAAAATCGTCTGCCTAAGAAAAATTGAATTTTTTTGGAAATTTTTTTTTGGACCTGGATGACTTTTTGGTGGTAATAGAGGTCTTCCTCTACTCGGATTCAGCTGTCGATTTTTTTCTACACTTTTAGGTGTATTTTGTGCAAGAATATGCAATAAAATCGTCTGCCTAAGAAAAATTGAATTTTTTTGGAAATGTTTTTTTTAACCTGGATGACTTTTTGGTGGTAATTGGGGTCTTCCTCTACTCGGATTTGGCTGTTGATTTTTTTCTACACTTTTAGGTGTATTTCGTGCAAGAATATGCAATAAAATCGTCTGCCTAAGAAAAATTGAATTTTTTTAAAAATTTTTTTTTGGAGCTGGATGACTTTTTGGTGGTAATAGTGGTCTTCCTCTACTCGGATTTGGCTGTCGATTTTTTTCTACACTTTTAGGTGTATTTTGTGCAAGAATATGCAATAAAATCGTCTGCCTAAGAAAAACTGAATTTTTTTGGAAATGTTTTTTTTGGTCCTGGATGACTTTTTGGTGGTAATAGAGGTCTTTCTCTACTCGGATTCAGCTGTCGATTTTTTTCTACACTTTTATGTGTATTTTGTGCAAGAATACGCAATAAAATCGTCTGCCTAAGAAAAATTGAATGTATTTGGAATTTTTTTTTTGGAGCTGGATGACTTTTTGGTGGTAATAGAGGTCTTCCTCTACTCGGATTTGGCTGTCGATTTTTTTCTATACTTTTAGGTGTATTTTGTGCAAGAATATGCAATAAAATCGTCTGCCTAAGAAAAATTGAATTTTTTTGGAAATTTTTTTTTGGACCTGGATGACTTTTTGGTGGTAATAGAGGTCTTCCTCTACTCGGATTTGGCTGTCGATTTTTTTCTACACTTTTAGGTGTATTTTGTGCAAGAATATGCAATAAAATCGTCTGCCTAAGAAAAATTGAATTTTTTTGGAAATTTTTTTTTGGTCCTGGATGACTTTTTGGTGGTAATAGTTGTCTTCCTCTACTCGGATTTGGCTGTCGATTTTTTTCTACACTTTTAGGTGTATTTTGTGCAAGAATATGCAATAAAATCGTCTGCCTAAGAAAAATTGAATTTTTTTGGAAATGTTTTTTTTTACCTGGATGACTTTTTGGTGGTAATAGAGGTCTTCCTCTACTCGGATTTGGCTGTCGATTTTTTTCTACACTTTTATGTGTATTTTGTGCAAAAATACTGAATAAAATCGTCTGCCTAAGAAAAATTGAATTTTTTTGGAAATGTTTTTTTTGACCTGGATGACTTTTTGGTGGTAATAGTTGTCTTCCTCTACTCGGATTTGGCTGTCGATTTTTTTCTACACTTTGAGGTGTATTTTGTGCAAGAATATGCAATAAAATCGTCTGCCTAAGAAAAATTGAATTTTTTTGGAAATGTTTTTTTTGGTCCTGGATGACTTTTTGGTGGTAATAGAGGTCTTCCTCTACTCTGATTCAGCTGTCGATTTTTTTCTACACTTTTAGGTGTATTTTGTGCAAGAATATGCAATAAAATCGTCTGCCTAAGAAAAATTGAATTTTTTTGGAAATGTTTTTTTTGACCTGGATGACTTTTTGGTGGTAATAGAGGTCTTCCTCTACTCGGATTTGGCTGTCGATTTTTTTCTAGACTTTTAGGTGTTTTTTGTGCAAGAATATGCAATAAAATCGTCTGCCTAAGAAAAATTGAATTTTTTTGGAAATTTTTTTTTGGTCCTGGATGACTTTTTGGTGGTAATAGAGGTCTTCCTCTACTCTGATTCAGCTGTCGATTTTTTTCTACACTTTTAGGTGTATTTTGTGCAAGAATATGCAATAAAATCGTCTGCCTAAGAAAAATTGAATTTTTTTGGAAATGTTTTTTTTGACCTGGATGACTTTTTGGTGGTAATAGAGGTCTTCCTCTACTCGGATTTGGCTGTCGATTTTTTTCTACACTTTTAGGTGTATTTTGTGCAAGAATATGCAATAAAATCGTCTGCCTAAGAAAAACTGAATTTTTTTGGAAATGTTTTTTTTGACCTGGATGACTTTTTGGTGGTAATAGAGGTCTTCCTCTACTCGGATTTGGCTGTCGATTTTTTTCTACACTTTTAGGTGTATTTTGTGCAAGAATATGCAATAAAATCGTCTGCCTAAGAAAAATTTAATTTTTTTTGGAAATTTTTTTTTTGACCTGGATGACTTTTTGGTGGTAATGGGGGTCTTCCTCTACTCGGATTTGGCTGTCGATTTTTTTCTACACTTTTAGGGTGTATTTTGTGCAAGAATATGCAATAAAATCGTCTGCCTAAGAAAAATTGAATTTTTTTGGAAATTTTTTTTTGGACCTGGATGACTTTTTGGTGCTAATAGAGGTCTTCCTCTACTCGGATTTGGCTGTTGATTTTTTTCTACACTTTTATGTGTATTTTGTGCAAGAATACGGAATAAAATCGTCTGCCTAAAAAAAATTGAATGTATTTGGAAATTTTTTTTTGGAGCTGGATGACTTTTTGGTGGTAATTGGGGTCTTCCTCTACTCGGATTTGGCTGTTGATTTTTTTCTACACTTTCAGGTGTATTTTGTGCAAGAATATGCAATAAAATCGTCTGCCTAAGAAAAATTGAATTTTTTTGGAAATTTTTTTTTGGAGCTGGATGACTTTTTGGTGGTAATTGGGGTCTTCCTCTACTCGGATTTGGCTGTTGATTGTTTTCTACACTTTCAGGTGTATTTTGTGCAAGAATATGCAATAAAATCGTCTGCCTAAGAAAAATTGAATTTTTTTGGAAATTTTTTTTTGGAGCTGGATGACTTTTTGGTGGTAATTGGGGTCTTCCTCTACTCGGATTTGGCTGTTGATTTTTTTCTACACTTTTAGGTGTATTTTGTGCAAGAATATTCAATAAAATCGTCTGCCTAAGAAAAATTTAATTTTTTTTGGAAATTTTTTTTTTGACCTGGATGACTTTTTGGTGGTAATGGGGGTCTTTCCTATTCGTATCTGGGTCTCAATTTTTTTATGGTTGCCGATGTTTATTTTTTATATTGAAATAATATATGAAATATTTTTAAATTTCTTTAATAATTTTCTGTTTCTTCTATAATTGAAAAAAAGATGCATTTTTGAAAAAAAATTGTTGATTTTTTAAAAAAGTGATCTCGCAAAAATAATGGAAATTCTTTTTTTTTGATGTATGCAACTTCTGGTAAAAAATTCACGAGGCTTTTTTAATTGCTTTGATATTGGAAGATACATTTTGTATGGGAAAAGCTTTTTTTGTTAACGTAAAGGGCTTTTTGTGTATCTCTCTCTCTATATATATAGAGTTTGAAAGAGTGTGAGAGAAAGAGAGATAGAGGGAGAGAGAATTATATTCACCTTTGCCGCATGTAGCACCAGTGAAAGGTGTTCCTGTGCAATCACAGTGAAATCTGTTCCATCCTTCTAGACAATGGCCACCATGCATACATGGCTGTGACGAACAATGTGGAGATTGTGTATGACAAGCTGGTCTCACAGCACCTGCACACAAAAAAAATACAAGAACACTAAAAATCATTGTTTTAAAGTTACGAGAGTTGCAAAACTGTTTTTAACGTCACTTGTAACATCATAAATTCACGTAAAACCAGACATCTCTGTAAAATATAAATTAAATTCTCGTTAAATATCCAACGATGCGACATATATATGTATATATACATTACATTTAATTTGTTTTTTTCTGTTTATTTCTTAATTTTTTTTTTTTTATTTTTCTGCTGTATACAGTATTTAACTTTTTAGGCTGTGTTTACAATTCACCTAGGGAAATGTTTTATTTGAACCAAATATAATATATTTGAGTTAAATAAACGTATATGTATATGTCTCACAGCCTACTCTAGCCTTTTTTTGGAGCAAATAATTTTTTTATTTAAATTAAATAAACACAGAAAAAAACTGAACTCAGAATGAGCCGTGTAGGCGGCTCATTTTTATGTGCAACAAAAATGAACCAAGTTAGAGGCGCCACTGTCTAGGTTGTTTAGCATTGGCTCATTTTGATTTGCAACAAAAATGAGACTAGGTTTTTTCCTGTGAAAATGTAATTAAATCAAATAAAAATTTATTTGAATCAAATAAATATTTATTAGGCTGTGTGACAAATAATAAATATTGTTGGATAAACTTTCAATTTTATCCAAGCCTGATTTTGATTGTACAAAAATTAATTATCAAATTACGTTTATAACTTAGAGAAAATAAAAAAAGGACGTCTTTTTTTTCAAAATTCTGAGTAATTTCCCGTATTTTTAATCAAGAACTACGTTATCTCGAGTATATATATATATATATATATATATATATATATAAAGAACTTGACTAACTGTAAACTTGGATGGACATAAAATTAGGTAATTTCATTTAATGAAAATGAAAGAAAAAAAAAGTGAGATGAGGAAAAAACTTAAAAAGTGTCGGTATAAAATGAATTTATTTGTGCAAGAGGGAAGGGAAGGACAAAATGAAGCCGAATCGAGAAAACGAGAAAACTTTCAAGTCGTGTATGAAAAGCGATAAAATAGATTCACAGTGTCACCATAAATTATCCATCTGAGGGAATCTTAATTAATCAATCCTTTAAATAAAAGACGGATACCAATTTTCATTATTTTTCTGTCATTTCTGTTTTTTTTTTTTTTTTTTTTTTTTTTAATGAAAATCACAAAATTGAAATGTTATATCTCTCTGTTTCATGTGAAATATAATACAATTTTGTCGCAATTTTCTTTTTTTAAACTAAGAAATAAATTCAATAATTAAATTATTAGAAAATTATTTTTTTTTAAATTCTAATAATTTTTCTTATTAATTATATTCTTAAATTAAAAATTTTTAGTATTAATTTAATAATATTTTTTTTTAATTAGGACCTATATTGTTTTATAAATTAATTGAGTTTTTATAGAAAAAGTAATTAAATTACTTTTTTAAAAGTAATTTACGTGCTTTGAAGAAAGGGACCTTTGAACAAAATGAATTATATAGGTTATGTTAACGATAGTTTTACCTTGATTGAAAGTTTCCTTTTATGTAAATTTAAAATCAGTTTTTATTAAATATTTTGAATGTAATGAAGACTCATTTATATTTGAGAGTTGAGATCCTCTTTGTGAATTTTCCCATAAAAATTTTAAAACATAACCTAAAAATTTTTTCTACATCTAAGGTCCCTTTTATCAGAGAGCGTCCATTTTTTAAATTAACAATTCTTTAAATAAGTAATCCAATTTTTTGAAGTTTCTAGTTAAAAATTTTTTTTTTTAATTTCTTAAGATATTAAAATAGTGGAAATTTTTTTTTTATTTACCAGAATCTTGTTGTTGAGCATAGCCAGCAATATCCACAGGTTGACTATTGATGACAAGATCTCTCATGCAACCAACGTAACCTTGACGAAGTGTTCCGGTCCATAAAACTGGCGGAACAGTCAGGGGTGCAAATGGCGCCCCCACACCTCCTATATACATTAATCCGTCAAGATCTAATTGCGTTGAATCACCTGAAATAAAACGAAAAAAAAAGTTGTAAATTCAGTTGTTCATTACATGAACATTTTGCTTCCTCTTTATACGATCAGCAAAAAAAATTTGCTTCCTCGTGGAGAAAGCATTAACATTGAAATAAACAATATTATTTCTTAATTTCTTAATTAATTTCAATAATTGATTTATAAAATTATTTATAATAAAAATTAATAAAAAAAATTACTAAATAAAATTAATAATTCAAAATAAATAATTTGTATTAGATTTCAATAATGAATTTTTTTTAAATTTTCAATATATGCGGGATTCACTGGAATTCTTTTTTTTTTTATATTTAATTACTTTTGATATATAACAATTGTAAGAGTGGGATATTTACTGAAATCATTCAATGAGAAATAGAATGCAGTAGATAATAAATTTATGAAAAGGTGGATCAAGCGAGAGAATTCAAAAGGGCATTGTCATCGTACTGATAAATTGGGCTCGTGCAAAAGCGAAATGAAATATTGTTATTGACGAGACGACCATTCGCAACAATACACGAAATTTGAAACGAGCAGCATTCCTAAAAACAATTTATTAGAGACCATTTGTTCAAATGACTTTTGTAATAATTGCCTATTCCCCCCCCCCCAAAAAAAAACCTCCTCTCTCTCTATTTTATGCACACATTCGCAAAAAAAAAAAAAACCTCAACTTTAATTTAAAATTTGTTTTTTATTTCAAAATAATGAAAAAATTTTTCTACATTTTCAAACAATTAAAAACAAATAACTTTTTTTGACAATACAATTGTGGAACAAAAGTACCCCGATGAACATTTAAACTACGGCCCTGGCTCTGTAAACTGTAATGTCGGCAACCTAACCTTAATTCAGTTTATTTATTGAACTATCAATTTTGATTCTATATTTACTTTTATAATAACTGGTACATCCAGGAAAAAAATTTGATTAAAAACAATCAATTTCTTTGACAAATTTTTCTTTAATAGAAAGAAAATTTATTTGTTTCAAATAAATTATTATCTTTGATTCATACAAAAATTATCTTCGTTTCAAAGAAATATTTTATTTAATTCAAATAAATGTTTGTTTAATCATATATATATATATCAATGTTAAAATTTCTTTGATTTAATTCTTTCATTCAAAGAAGCAAAAAGAAACAAAGAAGTAAAATTTTATTTTGAAAGAATGAAAACAAGTCAAAGAAATTGGTTTCTTTAAATCCAAAGAAATCTTTTTTAATTTTTAATTTAATACCACTTTGTGATCATTCAGAATAAAAATTATTAATTTTTTTTTTTTTTTGATTTAAGATAATTTGTTAATAGGAAATTAAATTTTCAGTGCAATAACTAGATGCGGGGAGGGGGGAGGTTAGTTTCGTCTTTTATTACCAAGATCGATACATGTGATATTATCGTTGTCGAGAAGTTTGGCATAAACATATATATATATATATATAACTTATAGAGTCGCGCACCACACATCGAAGAGGACTTGGATGCAACATCTCTCGAAACTGAATGCAACTTTGACTGTTTGTGCTGACATGGCATGAAAAGTGCCCGGGATTTTGGTGGGATTTCGTCAAAGTTTGCGCATATAATTTGACGACTTGGCAGAAACGATCTCGTCAAGCAGAACTTGCTTACTGTTTATTTATCGGTTTAATAAACCTCTCAAACTCTAGCCCCGTTGCCTGTATTTCCTTTCGCATAGCTTCCACGAACATTTCGTGATAACAGTACTATATATATATATACATGTATTTACTATACCGACGGTAGATTGATTTGAATGTATGTCTCTATCTCTGTTGCTTCAAACATTATAAATAGTCATGAATTAGATATTTCATTTACACTCAATCTATGAATTAATACATCAGACAGTTAATTAGATAATTAATTTACTAATTAATTAAAGGCATCAATCAATTCCATTAATCCACTATTCAATCAATCAATCAATCAATCAATAATTCTAGCAATTAATCTATAAATCTATTAATAAGTCAATTAATCCAAGAATTAAAAAAATTAATTAGTTCATTAGATAATTAATTTATTAATTAATCTACTTATTAATCAATCTACCAATCAATCCATCAATTAATCCACTATTCAATCCATCAAACATTCTATCGATTTATTCAGCAATCAATTCATCAGTCGCTCAATTCACTAATTAGGCTAAAAATTAATTAATTCATTTATTAATCGATTAATCAATCAATCAATCAATCAATCAAGCAATTAATTTATATATCCATTAATAAATGAATCATTAAATTAATATAATAATAAATTTATTAGAAAATTAATTCATTAATCAATTAATTATTCAATCTATCTATTAAGCCATTAATTCACTAATTAATAAATCAATTAATTAATTAATTCTAATTACATCCATTAATTCAATAATTAATTCTACAATTAATTATTAATTGATCTAATAATCAATCAATTAATTAGTCCATTTTTCTATAAATCCATCAATCATTCAATCAATCACGGGTTTTCTTTTTTTTTTTATTTAAAATTAAATATGAATTTTAAAAAATAAAATATAATTTCTCACATGTCAATAATAAATTTGGTTTTAATTTTAAATTGAAATGACATGTAATTATATATGTATATATTATATATACCTGTATATATAATATTGAAATTTACAATTTTCTTGCAAAAGTATATACGAAAACAAATTGTATAATTAATTAAATCGTTCGTGGGTAATAATCATCGGTGAAATTTCTCACTTTAGCGTAAAACGATGACCAAAATAAAATTTTGCGAGGAAGAGGGAAATATTTCATTTCACTTCATGGATGAGTGATTCTGATAAATCACATTGTTTGTTGAGTTCAAAGAGCGTTTAATCGGTTATCGTTAATCAAAAATTTACGGGTTGTGCCGCCACCATCGCGTGTATATTCGAAATCTGTTAATAATTATAGTTATTATTTTTGGTATTAATTTTTAGAGATATATATTTTTGAAAAAAAAAATTTTCAATTCAAAATTACACAAAAAAATGTTTGTTGATCCTTTTTCTAAAAACAAAAAAAAAATTTTTTTTCTATAAAAAACAAAAATATATTAATAAGAATAAAAATGAAAAAAAAAATAAAAATAATAATAGTAATAATAATTGTCAATAATAATTTAGCGCGCTATATTTTTGCTACTTATCATTAATAATAATTATTATTATTATTATCTACATTTCTTTGCATTTCTCTTTCTTGATTTTTTCTTATTTTCTTCTAATTATTAATTTAAGTTGATTTAATTGCTTCTATTAATTTATTTTAATTTATTCTCTCGCATTTATCGACTCTAATTATTATTATTTTACTTTTATGTATTTTTTTTCTTTATAATTATAATATAGAAATAATTATTCTTATGTTTCTTTTTTTTTTTTTTTGCTAATTATTGAAAATTAATTAATAGCATTTTCTTAATATCATTTAATTTTTCTTTTGATTTTTTTTTAATATTCAATTCGATTCAATTATTCTAAACTGATTAATTGTTTTTCATTATTATTTTTTCAAATTATTTTTTATAAGAAAATAATTCTTTTCATCAATTTTTATGTCTAAACTATAGAATAACAAAGAAAAGTAAATATTAAAAAATTGATCATTTTTGTATCAAAAATATTTTCTAAATTAGTCAATTAATTTTTTAAAAAAATGTAATTTTGAGACATTAATTAAAAGAACTTTGAAAATATACATTTTTTTTTAGTTATTATTGCAAATTTAAATATTTTTAAATTTCGCGCCAAACTGAAATACAAAGTTTTAGCGGCAAATTCAAATTGTTATTTTAAACAAAAATTACGTATTAAGAAAAATTGTTTTTCTCTTCTTTTATTTTAATATTCTATTATTACTTTATGGAAATAGTTCCAAAATTTTTACTTTTTTTAATCAATTCATTTACTTTTTTTTTTATTAAAAAATGACGAAAAATCTTTGCTTTATTTTAATTTTGATTTCTTTTTTTTTTTGGCAAATTCGCTGTCAGGTGCTTTGGCAAAATACGGCATCATCCTGGGGGCAGAAAATGGTTGGCCTGGTGTGGCATAAGTGTTCTCAAGTGTGTAACAATGAATTATGATCGCAAACCGCGAATTCGCTTCCTCTGTGCGCTTGTTTGTGTCTGAGGTAAAGGCTACGGGATTTACTCGTGAACCGTGTAAGTGATAAAGCACCACATATATGTTACCATATTCAGTATTCACTCCCTTTTTGCTCTCCCTTCCCACCGACCCCATTTTTAAGGTAAAAAAAAAAAAAAAAAAAAAAATGAAAACCCCTAAATAAATCATATTTACGACTCTATATAAATATTTTCATTTTAGCCTCCGGGTTCTATCAAATTTTACTATGCATTATGGTCTACAATTTGTTTGAGTTAAAAATAATTCCTTTTTTTCCAGTATAAAAGTTACATAAATGTTTATTTGACAAATTTTCTTAAAAACCATAAATCGTATTTTCATGATTTTTGATTATTTCGTTTAATTTTCATCTAAGATGAGTGCCACAACAATTTTTTTTCCAAAATTGATTAAAAAAATTTAGAATTTGACATTACCGACTGAGAAATTTTTTTTTATTTAATATTTTAATTTACAATCTATGTAAATTTATAATCTCTTTTTGGGAATTTTCATTAAAAATTTTTTTTTTGACATGTGTAAAAAAAGAATTTTTTTAGGTTAGGTTTTTTTTTGCTTTACCTGGTGTGCGAAATTCAATTGGAATTTGATCGACAGTGACTCGACTCTCCCTTTCAACACGACGAAATGAAACGTCATGCCAAACACCATCGTCCACTCGAGGTTTTGAGGCCTTGACCTTGATTGGCCCACTTCCCAGATCAGCGTGAAGATAGAGGTGACCGTTTAAAATTTCAAAGGCAAACAAGTCCGGCTGTAAATTGCAAAAAAAAAAAGACAAACATTAATAAAAAAACCAAATATTTAAATTTCATTTTAAAACTGGCGCGAAATTCAAATTAGTTTTAAAGAAAAAAACGGAATCGATTTAAATTTGGCGCCGAAATTTTATTTCAAAACAAGGCGGGAAATTTAAATTCAAAAAATTTTTTTTAAATAATTACCTGCTATTTAATAAATTACCCATTAATTATTTTTTTAATCGATCAAATAAAAATTATTTGATTTTCCACTTAACGATAAATTGTCGCATTAGATTTGATATAAATAGTGAGAATCGTTTAATGACGAACCAATTAAAGGCCACCACCCCCCCCCCTCCTCTCCTACACTCACCCTTCCCTCTAATTAAATTTTGCAGGGAATTAAAAAACAGAGAAAGGACCTCGAAAATCGAGAGAAAAGCGACTCTCGTTTCATTTGCCATGTCGGGTGCACCCCACCGAAGGGAAATTGTGTCTCGATAATTGAATTACTGTTGTCGAGGAACTTTCATGTATTGCCCGCTTTTGCGAAAATTTATATTGCATCCGTGTATTTTGAAAGCTCGTTATTTAAAAAAAAGAAAAAAAATTTTTTTTTTTAATTTACTACTTTAACAGTAATTGTTGGTAATGCGTCGATCAAGTCACGTTCTTTATCAAACAAAAAAAAAAAAAAAAAAAAAATTCTCACTTCATTTAGAAAAAAAAATTTCTTTCATAAAAAAAAATAATGGCCAACAATCACGTCTGTAAATTGGCGATTTAATTCTTCTCTCGTTTTTGGTGAAATCGTATAAATTCTTCTGTTTAGAAAAAGAAAAATAAAAAATAGAAAAAAAAAAAAAAAAAAAAAAATCCACAAAGATTTAAAAAAAAAAAAAAAAAATGAAGTACTGATTGGAGTTTCGCTTGATTGCATTTTATTGCTCCTAATCAACTTTCCACCAAGTTTTTATTTCGCTGAAACAACTCAAGTAAACGGTTTTAATTTAGAGTATTGCTTTTTTTAATTTAAAAATATTGCTTTATTTATTTTTTTGCTCAACTCTAGTGCAATTTATTTTTTAAATGTTGTCTATTCTTTTAATTTATTGTAAAATTAATTTTCTTTTTTTTTTAATAATCTGTTGTGGAAAATTTGATTTATGAATTTAATAATGCGAAAAAAATTAAGAAATTATAATTTAAAATTTGAATTTCGCGCCAAAAATTGATTATTCCGCTAGATGTCACGGCAATACAATACAGAAATAAAATGCGCGGGAATATTTAAAAATGTTAATATTTAAATTAATAAATAATAAATCAACGAAATAATAATAATAATAATAATAATAATAATAATAATAAACAATAATAGTAATAAACAAAAATAGTAATAAACAATAAAACACAATAAATAAAATTCTCAAAACAATATTTTTTATTTCTCTAAAATGTTACTTTGTTGAATTATTATTCAAATTTGAATTTCGCGGTAAAAATTGGTTATTCCCCTAGATGGCACGTCAAAGTAATATTCAAACAAAATGCGCGGGAATTTTTAAAAATGTTAATAAATAAATTGACTATAAATAATAAATCAACGAAATATAAATAATAATAAACAAAAAATAGTAATAAAACAAATAAAATACAATAAACAAATATAATAAATTATGTAATTTTAAAATGTTTAAACAATTTTTTTTCATTTTTCACAGAATTTGTCAAATTTTTCAAATTTTTCAAATTTAAAAAAAAAATTTCCCCAAAAAAGAAATAAAATTCTTATTTTGAAAAATTTTACCATGATTTTTCTGTATTTTTATTCACTTTGTATTTTAAAAATTTAAATTCCAAGAAAACTTTTTCAAAAGAATGATATTGTTTCAGGTTATATTTGATTTTTATTTTTATGTATATGTATATATATATAATAAGAAAAGTGAATAGAAGAAAGAATGTCGAGAATTTTTCATTTTCCGGAAAATGGTATATTTTCTTGATAATAATAATACTAAAAAAAAAAAGAAAAAAATAGAAAAAAACAACGAAAATATCTTTCTTTTGTGCATTGTCCCTTATTTTTAGGTGAACGGAAAGAGTATAACATGAAGGCACTCACCCGACTCAGTGCTCCACTTCTGCTGTACATGACCAAGCCATTCGGTTCGTTGGTACGAATTTTAAAAGATATACTCCCCTGTTTGGCTGCCTTCCAGGGTGGCAAAACCTGAAACAAAAAAAAGCGTTCGCTATCTTTCTATTATGACGAAAAAAAAAAATAATTAAAAAAAAGAAATCCCAAATATTTTAAAAACATCCACCAGGAATCGGAAACAGTTGATTTATATTTTTCTAGAATAAAAAAACAGTAATTAAAAAAAAAATTATAAAATGAAAACAATTTTTTTTTCATTTTATAATAATTATTAAAAAAAAACGGTTTTAATAAAAAGTATAAGTAAAAGGTTTTTTTTTACAGGAAAATTGTTTTTAGTTAGAGAATATAATTAAATTTTTTTTAATTAAAACAGTTTTTTAGTTCCGATTTTAAATCATTATTTTCCAGTATAATAAATTTTTAATTTTTTCGTTTTTTTAAATAAGTTTGTAATATTAAGTTCAGGTTATCTTTTTTTTAAATGTCTATATATAATTGATTTATATCAAAAATTAATTAGCAATATTTACAATGTTAAATTAATTATTAAAACAAGAGTATATAATTTCCACTCTGATGAACTTTATATATATTTGAATTTTCCATTTTGGCAGTAGGTTGACAATTATTTCACAAATTTTGCTAATTGCCGAACGATGATATGATATATTCTTTATAGCAATGAAAGAGTACGAATTAAATTGCCGATCAATTAGACTAATTTTGTTATTGAAAATAAATATAAATATTTTTTTTTAAATACTTTTACTTTTGGTATTTTATAAAGTTTTTTTTTATATTACAATTTTTTTAATAAAAAAAAAATTTACTTAATTTAATATATTTGTATTTTCAAAAATTGTTTATTATATCTACTTTTTTATATTTTAAAAAATAATTTACAATTTTTCAGGGATTATTTTAACCTGTCACGTTTATTATTAGGCAAATTAGTTTTAAATTAAAATAAGAGAGTAAGAGGGGGGGGGAGAGAAAGAAAAAAAAGCGTAAAACAATGGTGTGCTCGTGCAAGCGAATATTTATGTCGACTGGTTGAGGTGAGATTTAAAATTCAGTATAATGAAAACTCGTGTTAGCAGGACAAGCGTAAAGTGAAAAAAAAGAAAAAACAATGAAAAATAGAAGAAAAAGATGACATTATCTTTTCATTTTTTTTTTGTTATTTTTTATAATATCAAAAAAAAATAAGGTTATCTCAATATTAAAATAATTTTTCTAATTGAAAAATTTGATTTTTTAATATTCTTATCTATATTCAAAATTGATATATTAAAAAAAAGAAACTTATTTTCTCCTTCTCTGCATCAAACAGATACCATACAAAGAGAAAGATAATGTTAGGATGTTATTTTAAATTAAATTAACAACTCAAAACTCACCGAAAGTTATAACGACCTTCTCAAGTCGTTTTAATATGTAAGTTGAGAGAGAATAATCAAAAACTTGGAAATTAAAGTTTATGTCATAAAATTATTCAGAAGGACAAATATTTGCCTTTAAATTTCATTTAAAACTACTTTTCAAATTTGTTATCATATTCTGTTTCACGTAATATATTAATAACATTAGGAATTAATATAATATAATATAATATATTAAAAAATAATAATAATAATTATTATTATATTATTATTATATTATAAATTATTATAATATAACAATAATATAATATAATATTGGTTGGTAAAGATCAGGTCACGGTTTGTTACTTTTGTTCTTTTTTTTGATAAAGAAGGAAATTTTGGTTTTTGAAAATTGAAATATATATTATTAAATTTCTACAATATGGTAAAAATTGCAATCAGAAAAAAAATTTTAAAAAAAATCCTACGCATTTTATGATGTTGATTCAAAGTCGTTAAACGTGGGTTGCATTATTCATATAGACTTTACGATGTTATACGTATGTCTGACTGAAACTTGGCTATACTACTTAAACAGTGAAAATACCACTTTTATCGCTATAAATTTAATATTTTCTAATATCAGTTCCATGTCAATTCAATATAGGGTAAAATTAGGTCTAATATAGGTTCAATAATAATAATAATAATAATAAATAATTAAGAATAATAAATAATAATTCAATTATATATATTCAATGTAGGTTAAAATTTAATTTAAATCTCAATAAGTATAATTTAAATTAGGTCTAAACTTGGTTCCAATATAGGTCTTATATAGGTCTAATATAGATCTAATATAGGATCATTGTAGGTTCAATATAACTCCAATGAAGGTTAAAAGTAGGTCAAATATAGGTTCAATGCAGGTTAAAATAGGTCCAACGTAGGTTTTATGTAGGTTCAAAATAGGTTCAATGTAGATTTAAATTAGATCTAAAGTTGATTCTAATATAGAATAAATCCGTTGTAGGTTCAATAAAGGTTGAAAGTATAGAATTACTAAGGATTTAAAGTATGTCGGAATAGGTCCCAATAAAGGTGCAATGTATGGAGGTCTAAAATAGTTTTATTATAGATTCAAAGTAGGTTCAAGGTAAGTAAAGTATAGATTATAAATATAGGTTCAATGTATGTTGAATAGAGGCTCAACGTAGACTTAGTAATAATTTAATCTAGGTCGAAATAGGCCAAATATAGGTTCAATTTAGGTTATATATATATATATATATATATATATATATATATATATATATATATATAGGTTTAAATTAGGTCCAATATAGGTTTCACGTAGGTTCAAATAGGTTTAAAATTGATTCCAATATAGATTAAGTATAGATCCAAATGTAGGTTCAATGTAGATTAAATAAGGGTTTAAATGTAGGTTGAAATTGGTCCAATATAGGTTTAATTTATTTACTATGTAGGTGTAAAATAGGTTTAGTAGATTTAATAACGTTTGAAATAGGTTCATGGTAGGTACTATGAAGGTTTAATGTAGATCCAAAGTAAATACAAAATAGTTTTAAAAATTTGTTCCAAAGTAGGTTTTAAAATAGGTTCCAAAATAGGTTCCAAAATAGGTTCCAAAGTAGGTTTTAAAATAGGTTCCAAAATAAGTTTCAAAGTAGATTTTAAAATAGGTTCCAAATTATGTTCCAAAATAGGTTTAATTAACAATTTGATATTATATACAAAATTATCCAATTATCCGACCCTGCATATATATATAAAACAGCTTCCAGCTCAGACGGGATTAGTAAATAATTTCTTTTCGAAAAGTAATTTAACTTTGGCAATCGATCGCCTCGACGTTAAACCAGTATCAAGAGTTCGTGTATATATATATATATATATCTAACATGTCGAGTTGCAAAATACGAATGAAATGGCCGAGCGACTATTAAAAAACTTAAAATTAACTAAAACGGACATACCCTTGAAAACTGAAGGTAAAAAAAAATTGAGACAGAAAATGGTTGGAAGGTAAAAGAGAAAATAGAAGAGAAAATTTTCGAAATATCGAAGAACGGCGAATATGACTTTCAACTATACATATATATATATTTTATTGGTAACTGGGAAAACAATCCTCGGTCCTCATCATCAATTATTTGCTTTCACCTTTGGCTTTGAGTTTCAAGTGAACGTTCCTGGGTTTTGCAACTTCGAAAGACTTGGGGGGGCTTTCAACTTTTCAAGAGCTTTCTTGAAAAGTTGATTCTTTCCAACAAAGGGAACTCTTGAGCAAACCGTTCTACTTTCAACTTTCTTTTTCTTGGCCAAACTTGCAAAAAAGAAGATAAAAAAAAATGTCCTAATACGATTTGAAATTTTAAAATCGTTTTTAATAATAAATTTTTTTGCCATTATATACATTGTCTTTCCATAAAATAATAATAATAATAATAATAATAATAATAATAAATAATAATAATTAAAACCAATGTTATATGCGCACGAAATATAAGTACAGACAGACGGACAGACTGTAATTGCTAAAATAAAAATTGAAGAAGGGGATAAACATTTAGTTAGTATAAAAATTTCAATAACTTTTTTTTTACAATAAAAAAAGATGAAAATAGGATAGAATAAAATTTTGTTCTCATTCATAGTCGAGGAATCGTTCACTTTACAATGGGCGCATCGATTTAATTTCTTGGAACCTTAGAGTCTGTGGAGTACACTCTTGACATAACAGAGTTTTAGAGAAGTATCCACACCTTTATATATATATATATATATATATATAAGTAGAGAGAGGGAGAGGGAGAGGGAGAGAGAGAGAGAGAGAATTGTGACACAGTTTCAGTGCTTATAAGCCGAGTTGTATCCAGGTTGCAACATCAAACTTGAGACTCGCAGCTTGCACGAAGCAGCCTGTGGTTTCTGAACCCAAGAGAGCTTTACCTCAACTTCAACAGATATATATATATCCCCTCATATGTACCTCCAACTGGTTCGTTATTTACTTTCAAATACATACAATCCCCTGTAGATGGCAATTTTTTTTTTTTTTTTTAACACACTTCGGACATTTCTTCAACAAGAAACTAATACGTAACAAAATCTAAAAATTTTGAAAAATATTTACGATTTTCAAACATGTAAAAAGAAAAAGATTTCAAAATGAACGTTACGGCATTTGAAAGTACTACTTTTTCTTTAAAAATCGATTTTTTAAATTAAAAATCGAATCCAATGTGGAAATTTTTAATTTTTTGTAAATTCGTCGATTTTTGTCAATTAAGTAGCAAAAACATAAACCATACTTTCTTAAAGGTATTGGACATACTGAATCAGAATCTTTGTATTAAAACTAAAAGTTCAAATTTTTTTTAGGTATTCTAACCTAAAAATACAAAAAAAAAAATTCTACTTTTTAGCAAAAATTTGAGATATTGCTCAAAATAGCCTTTATATGCATTTTTAGGTTAGATATTTGAAAAATATAGTAGCTAATTAAAAACAAAATTCAAAAATTCTTGAGAAATAAAATTTCTATTTTCTTTTAAAGTAGAAGTATTTTTTTTCCCGGTTAAATCAGAGTATAAGAGTATATAAATATTAACTATATTTATATAGTGAAGTATCGGCGGAGATTTCTTAGAACCAGTTTAGTATATATATATGAAGGCC